GCGCTCACGTGTGTTTTGCTGGGGCAGGGGTGCGTTGTGTGCGGCTGGCAGGGGGCAAGCAGGCTCTTTGCCACATCTGCTGATCCATCCACATCCTCGGAGACTTCCTCGCTGTTGGGAACACAGGAGCAGACACCCCTACGGGCGTCAGGCATCTGGTTGTAGCGGCCAAGACGAAGATCCTTGGCTTTAAGCAGGGACTCGGTTGGGCTGCGCTCACTAAGATGTGTGCGGGACATGTGCTGACCCGCATCCCTCACCAAATTCCTCGGAGCTGCTCATTAACACACAGACGATTCAGCTCTGTAATTGTTCACAGCATATGGAGGCAAAAGGCAAAGGGGTTTGACAGTATGGCCTAAATATCCCTGTTTACAAAAAGTCTGACAAAACACAAGCCCTTGGCTTTATCTTTCCCATTTGGAAATAGCCGCAGAGCAAATATACTCAAGGCATGAAGAGAGGGGGATTTATATTGACCTTAGAAAAAGCTATTCTTTAAAAACAGGAAAAAAAACCCATCCTCCAGCTGTGCAGACTGGGTGCTAGACCCAAAAGTCCTGCACAGAGGCTTAAAGCCTGCCTGCTAATCTGTAGAATTTCTGTGTGAACAAGTCATGCAGTAAACTGCTCTCTGTTAATTTTTTAATGCAGAATAAACAGGTCAAGAAATGATTAGCATGAGAATAAGTTCAGCTTAATCAGGAGTATCAGAAAAGATGAGAGGGAAGAGACAAATTGGAGTTATCAGTTAACTATTTGGAGTGGCTCTGCCTCCAAGAGCTCGTGTTCTCCCTTGTTTTCCATCCCTCATGAAGCGCCTTTTTTTTTCCCTCTTCTCTAATTTAAATGGTGACCTAAAATTGCCAGTATAAGCACAATGGAAGCCCTTGTTTCTCCTTCTCATTCTCCCTCTGTAATGGCTTCTCGAATGAATTACAGGTGATAAGGATCCTACCTGATTATTCCAGACGATCCTTCCCCATTCCATGTTTAGAAAGGAAGCTGCTCTAGTTGAGGTTGAAGGCTGCAAATCCACTTGGCGCAAGCACGACAGCTCTGTCCCGATGCAAAGTCTTAGTGGGATCCCAGCAGATCCAAGGGCTGAGTGGAGGGATCCGTGGGCAAGGGGAAAAGCAGACCTCGAGATTCGCTTGGAATGGAGTTTGGTCAGTGGTCGGAGATCTATATTCTCAGATAGGCAGGACTTTGTCCACAAACTGGAGTTTGAAATTTCAAAGGGGAAAAAAAAAAAAAAAAAAAAGCAGAAGGGACCTTTGCATGTGTGGAGATGACTATGCTGGCAAGGCTCCCCTGGGACTTCTGTTCTTTGTCTTGTAATGTGGCCTCCAGCTTCCCCGGGCGATGCTGAGGAGAGACGTCCGCAGCAGCAACCCCTGGGCAGGCGCCCAGGGAAGCCGGGCTGGCTCATGGCGACCTCGTTCACAGCTTTGCGAGGCCGGAGGTTTTGGGCCCAGAGCATCTCTGCCTTACTCGCGTGCCCAGGCAGAGCTTTGCTTTCCCCGCGCGCCCGGGCAGCCCCCCTGCCGCTGAGCAGCGGGGCCCGGAGCCGCAAGGCGACGCGTCGTGACCCATGCGGCCCCCACGGCACCGCCAGCACTGCCAACCCGCCCGAGGGAAGAGCGCTCCCGGCTCCTGTTTCTGCTGGGCATTTCTCGGGGGCACCGGGCCCTATAGGGAAACCAAAGGGTCCCGGGCGATGGGCGTGAGGGCAGCAGTTGTCCAGGGACCAGGACAACTGACAGCACACAACCTGTCACAGACACAAGGAAGGTGCTGAGAAGACAGATCCAGGCTCCTTCAGCAGGCCATGGCGTTTTAGAGCCAATAGGCGCAAGCTGAAACAAGGGGGGTTCAGACAGGATATAAGGAGAAAATGAACCACCAGCCAAGCTGATCCAGAGAGGCTGAGCAGTCCCCAGCCGTGGAGATTTTCCAGACGAGCCTGGATAAAGTCCTGAGCATCCCAGTCTACTCTCATAGCTGACCCTGCTGTGGGCAGGAGGTTGGACTTCCAGCCTGAACCACCCTATAAGCCTAGGATGTATGTTGAGGAAAGGCCAGCAGATCCATGTGGAAGAAGCCTTGCTCCTCCACTCCACATGAAGAGCTAGCAAGCATGGTAGCTGAACAGTATCCATAAGTGTTTTGTTAAATACGCTACTCCTGTTTCTTATTTACTAAGAAGCATCTACCTTGTTTTATGGGAATCCCTCTTACTTTTGGTGAATTTGCCAGCAGAAGGATCTGTTGGTGGGGCAGAATTAGTGTCACGAAGTGCTAGCGTGGAAAGCAGCAGAAGAATTTACAGCTCAACAGATAAAAATCAAATGATTGCTCAGTGCAGAATACTTCATTTCCTGGAACTGTAGCAGTTTCCTTTACAGCTGCCTCCAGGAGCATGAAATAGTGGGTAGATGACATGGAAAACCGGGAAGGGAGGAGAGAAGGAAAGAGTCTGACAAGCTGAAGTTCCCCTGAGTACCTGGTCTGGGAACTGCCTTTCCTTTACCAGGGTTCTCCTTTAGGATGGAGCGCGGGGTCCCTCTATGCCTGTGTTATGTAGCTGAAGCCCCTTCGAAGTTTCCTGCCCTCCCTCTGGATGGGGGGACACCCTGCTGTGATGTGCCAGCCCCAGGTCACGCTTCAGCTGTGCCCCTGTCCTCAGGACAGGCTGCTGCAGGGAACATCTGCATCCTAAAGAGCTGTAGGTCTGCAGGGTCCTGCTAGCTACTCTAGGCCGTGACTACGCTTGGGAGCCGTCCCAGAAAGCCAACAGGCAGGGTCATCCTGCAGGGACTTCTCTGGAACCTGATTCTCCTTCGCTACCCTGAGCCCAGGGTGCAGCGGGAGCGTTTCCATGAGGGGGGTCTCACCCCCATGACAACGAGCCCTTTTCTAGGGGCAAAGGAAGTGCACGGTGTCCTTGGCCCTTTTGGTCTTTGCCCTCCGTGCTGAGACAAGTTTTGCGATAGGCAGAGGACACCGGTAGTGAGAAAACGACAGTCAACACTAGCCTGTGGGCGGAAGGCTCCACGTCCCATTGACAATTCCCGGCCCCTTGAGCCACCTAATTCTCTCCAAACTTCCCTGCACCTTATCGCGCTCTCTCACCCATACTCCCTAGCTCTCCGTTTTCTATTCCTAGCATGGTTAATCCTTCCTGCCCTAGGAGCAAGCGGCCTTTGCAGCCTTATTTTGTCAGCAGGCTATTTAAGCAAAAGGTTTGTTTTGCTGAACAGAGCAAAACGGGCCAAGCTTTTATGATATTTTACTAGACACTGTGGCAAAGCCTGCACATATTTGACCTAGTGTCTAGCATTTATCTAATCAAAGGGATCACTGTGGCCTGACAGGGGTTGGGGTGGAGGTCCCTGGCAGGAGGCTGCTGCAGGGTCTGCTCTGCCTCGCGTCCCCGTGTTGGGGCACACGCCATGCAGGCGGCTTGGGGCTCAGGGCTGCTCAAAGCAATGGGAAGGACAAGCAGGCACATGAGCTCTGCTCCACCTTTCCGGCGCACAGAGGAGCTGGCTGCTGCCCCTGCAACAAAGGAAAATCTAGCACCAGCATCAAGTGAGAAACCTGGGGCTCTCCCATCTGCTCAGATCAGTTCCTGGTGATCTGTGACCTTGTGGTGCCAATCTCGGGCCAAAAAGAGCTATTTGGAAGGGCTACATAGACCATCCACAGCCTTAAGAGCTAGGGCTGCTCCATCAGCCCTTCCTTGTGCTCCTGAAATACAGTGACTGTTGCTGCCTCTCGTGTGGCTTGTCCGGGGCCACGTGTCACTGTGGGGCCAGGGACCTCGGTGTCACGTTGTGCCACGGAAGCCTCCTTGGCTAGGACTGCTCAGGGAGGCATCAGGGCCTGTGCTGGCTCGTGTGGGTTTGCAGGTGAAGGCAGCTGGTTGCACTGGATGCAATAGTAATATTGCACCAGTGAAATAACGAAGATGGGATGTTTTCAGTGCAGAGCGAGCTGAGACTCCATCATTCATTACATGTGCTCCCCCTGATGCTGCACAGAAATAGCTTCTATTCCTTTGTCTAGCATTTTCAGGCAATGGAAACTGTACTGGGCCCTCTCCAATGCAGGGGCTGAAGTGTCCAGGGCGAACCAGGGGCCCAGAAAGTGCCCAGGGGAGCGAGCAGGGCGAGACAGACAGTCCTGCTGCGCACCTGTGTCTGCACCGCTGGTCGGGGGCCTGGCCTGAGGTCTCAGCCGGGTGACAGGAAGCCCCTGGCGATGGCACAAGGCTGCAGGACAGCGCGTACCTGGGGGGAGAGCACAACTGCTGCCTGAACCTGCAGAAGGGGGAAAAAATCACCCTGCACTATAAAGTTCTGCCATACTTTCCAACAAAAACATTAAGACTAAAATCCTGCCTGGGCTGTGTGTGGCCAGAGCGCCCGGCAGCCGTGCTGCCCCCAGCCCCTGGTGCTGCAGGATTCCCGCAGCACCTGTAGAGGGAAGGGAGGCCCACACCGGTGCTTTGCATAGCAATGTCTGCCCTGCAACGTGGGCTCCAACCTCCTGCGGGACGGGAAAAGGGAACCTGGGAGCCGGGAGAGGGGCAAGCAAGCGAGAGCTGCGGAGGGGATGGGGCGAGAGACCCAAAGAGCAGCCTTGCTCTCCAGGAAGGGTTTTCTTTCCCCAGTTTCCCACCGCAGGCACAATTAAGGCACAAGGGCTCAGCAGCCCCAGGAAGGTGCCTCCCGGGCCGCAAGGGCTTCTCCTGCAGCCCTGCGTGTGCCCATGAGCTAAGCCCAGCAAAGAGCCTCAGCTCCAGAGCAGATGACCAACAGGAACCACCACAAAGAAAAAAAAAAAGAGAGAGAAAAGAAAAGAAAAAGCGTGGCAGCGTTGGTTCGGCAGCGGGTGAGATGATTAAAGATTAACCCCTGGCCTCCACCCCTCAGGGAGTATAGGCCTTGAGGCTCAGCAAATCCTTTCAGAGAAATATTTGAAATAAAAGACAACAGATAGGGACACAGCGAAGGCAGAGGGAGGCAGAAGGGCCAATAGCCTCAGACAAGGGAATCGGTGCAATCTGGCCCGTGTTTGCGGATGATAATGCGCCTTTCCAAAGCCCTGATAGACATGGAGATGGCCGATTACAGCGCGGCGCTGGACCCGGCATATACCACTCTGGAGTTCGAGAACATGCAGGTGCTGGCCATGGGCAGCGGTAAGTGCCCCGCTCCCGGGCTCCCATCCCAAGGGATTGCTCCTCTCCTGGAGAGCCGGCTGCAAGCCGGGCTGCTGGTGCCAGCCTGGACACCCAGGTGATGGGCACAGGAGCCGGGGGGAACTCGCAGCTCCCCTTCCGGCCACAGTTGAGGGAGCAGGGATGAGCAGAGACTGGTCTCAGTGCTGCCAGGCTCCAAGGGAAAGCCGGTGCTTGGCAAGCGTTCCAGGGGGGCAATGCTGTCCACGGCGCCCCGGGAAGGCTGCGGAGCCGGCAGCTCTGAGGCAAGTCCTGCCCTTGGGGAAGCTGCAGTTTGGGTTTCCCCAGAGCAGAAAGCTGGGCCTGGCAAGGGTGGAAATTGCTGTAGAGAGAGACCTGAGTGGTGCAAAGGAGCTGTGGCAGGATGATCCTGCCAGGATGGTGCAATAGCCTTTAAGTGCAATAGGCTTTAAAATACCAGGATTTGCAATATTGGCAATTTAGGGACCAAGGATTCCCATTGACCAGAGACAGCAGGAGGTTCCTCCCCAAGCACCCACTAAAGCCGAGGTTAATGGCTGAACTGACACGAGCACGGGGTGACTTGCTGGCCCTTTCCTCCTGCCCGGGGCTGCAGCAGGGACCGGCTCTACCCGGGCAGGACGGCGCTGGCAGCCGCCCGTGCCCCCGCTCGCAGCTCCGCTCGGTCCCAGACACGGCACCAGGGCTTCAAAGCAGCTCTGCAGCCCTCTAACCGCCTTCCCTTGGAGCCTCCGTCCCATGTCCCCACTGCCAGCGCTGGCCTCCACACAGGTCCTCAGGGAACAGGGTGCCAAAAGCAGCTCATCCTGCTCTAGACCTTCCCGGAGAAGCCCAGGCTTCACTCCTTCTCCATGGCCCTCCATCCCAGTGCACGGAGGGGCCAGGGTCACCCCACACCCCTGGCTCCCCCCACGATGAGGGGCTCTGCCACAGCCCCTCCACAGGGACAGAGTTTTCCATGACTCAGCTTGGAGCCATAGGGAACGCCCTGGAGGCAGATGAGTCAGCGGCTTAGGAGGAGCAGCTCCACATTAGGGACAGGAGGTGCCCGCGGGGCTGCTGTGGCACCCTGGTGCTCTCCCACCCAGATTGCAGCCTGAAGAGTCCCTCCCCAGGCCTTGTCCCCAGCTGGAGCCTGCAGGACACCCTGGGCCTGCTTGCAAGGCCAGCCCAGAGGTGGTTGCACAGCAGGGACAGCTGCCACCGTCACAACTCCAGTGCACCCCATTCCCAGGCACGTTTTGAGACCTTTCAGGGTCCCACTCTCATAGAGCAAACAGCCTTGGTGGTCTCAAACATTGAGCAGGTTTTTCTTTTCCTTTCTGCTTAACTTGACTACAAACTGATGCCCATTAAACCTACTCCACTGCGGCAGGCAGAAGCCCATATCTCTGGCACTATAAAAATAAACTTAATTGGAAAATTACCCAATAGAAAATAAGCTAATCCAAAATAACATTAAACTGAGGTTTTGTAATTTTTCAGATAATAGTGCCTGCTTTTCCTGTTACATATTCACCCACATAGAGCATGATATACCCCTAAAAGGGATTTATCTGTCACACATATGCAAATACTGTGATTGGGGCAGATTAGCTCTTTGTTCCTCTCAGCTGCAGGCTCTCCATTTAGATGAAATTAAACCTGTATCTTTCTGGAATACCTTTAATCCAGCAGAGTGCTCAGAGAGACGATCTGAGAGGCAAGGGGCTTGCAGGGCCTCACGAGACAGGCAGGAGCAGCCCGGATGGCGCTGGTGGCCTGGGAGGGGGCTCATCAGGCAGCTCATAGCACTGGGAAAGGAAAGCCAGGAAAGAAACCCAGGGGATTACAAGGAAGTCAAGGGACGGAAAGCAGGCAGGGAAACAAAACTGCCCCAGGCTGAGCTTTGAGCCTCACTGAAGGACCCAACTGCTCATCAGATACAGAGAACAGAGCCCTCCCACAGCAGCACCATGACCTGCCCTAGCTCCAGCAAAAGGCAAAGCTTCCTCAGCACCAACTTTTTATATGGGTCCCAGCTGCGTTTACAGCCCAGTTCCCACTGCCTGGGGAGCTGGGCACCAAGTGGAAACAGCTGTGGTCCTCCTGGGGAGAGAGTTAACCTCATCCCTGCTGGATCAGGAGGAATGTGGTGGAGACGGTGCGAGGGCTAAGTCAGACACTGCTCTCGGAGCCTGACTGCAGGGCGTTCTGAAATGAGGAGCAAATGTCTTCAGAGAGGCTGCTGTTCATTCTGCAACCCTGGCCCTGGTGTTATGGGATGGAGCCTGGGTCACGCACGGTGCCTGAGGGTGTCATTTTAGTGCCTCTGATAGAAGTTTCTGCTGTCATGGTCAGAATCAGGACCCTGTTGACTCTCTTATGGGCCGCTAAAGAAGATTAAGTAGACTCAGGTATTAAAAATCCAGCAGGTTTCTGTGGCCTTTTAGTTCCTGAATATCATTTGCAACTGGTATTTCCAAGGAGGAAAGGAAATGTGCCCATGCTGACACAACACAATGTGCATGGGAGGTGACAATGTGATCGACTGAGTTAAGAGCTGATCCCTTCAGCCTTGAGGTCTGTTTGGCTTGCTGCAGGGTTTAGCGCAAGGCTTGTGTGGTTTGGAACCTTTCACATGCCCTTTCCTACTTCTGCAGCCCCCCATCCTTCCAAAAGAGCCCTGTAAGTGCCAGCCTCCCCTAAGGTTTAAGGAAATGACACCCTGGTCCCAGCCATGGTGTTACAAGACCCTTGCAGACACGAAGGTTTTACAGTATCACTCTTTCTTTCTGGGTTATTTGATCACTCCTTCCTTGCATGGGTGGTATTTGCCCATGTGTGTTTTCCAGCATAAGTCCCTTAGAAGTCCAGCAGAAGGTTTATGGCGTATTTAAAGGCTTGCTCACCTGAAGAAAGGTCCTGCAGGCCAGTGCTCCATCCCTGATGGAGAGGGCTCTCCAGCAAAGCGGGCTGGTCACCTCATTTCTCTACTAGCTCCTGCTCACGGCTACCTTGCGCTCTTAGAGGACTCTACTACAAAATCCTAATAAATCAGCAGCTCCCTCTGAGCCCTAATACCTCAGCTTACCTCTGCGCTAGCTCCTTCTCTGGCCACGTTACTGAGACCAAAGCATCTGCAAATCCCCAAGGAATTTTGGCTCTGCTCTGTGACACTGCCAGCAGGTTTCCATTTAGTCTGAAGGTGTCCCTGGAGCTGGGCCTTTCAGAACTGCCTCACACTGGCAAATAGGGGTTTTTTTATGTAATCAGTGAGAGACATAGTTTAAGAGACTCTAAGCACCCACCACTCCTTATGCAAGTCTGTGGCCAGGCCTTTCCTGTTCAGTCTGAGAGCAGCTGCCCAGTTCCTCAGAAAATCAGGTCTTTCACTGTAAATTAAGTCAGTAAATGTTGAGTGTAAGGCTGGTTCTCATTGTCATCTTTCCTGTGTGCTTCCCCAAGCAGACACATCTCCCTCGGAAGCAGCCAGCCTCAACACCACCAGCAGCATGGGGGTGAGTGTGCTGTGTGCCATCTGCGGGGACCGTGCCACAGGGAAGCACTACGGGGCTTCCAGCTGTGATGGCTGCAAAGGCTTCTTCAGAAGGAGTGTCCGGAAGAACCACATGTACTCCTGCAGGTGAGGACAGCCGGGGTCCGGTGTCTTGGAGGGACAAAAGGATCCCCAGGAGCTGAACAGAGAAACCCTTCAGGTTCTTTATCCTCTCCCTGTGTCCTCCACCGCCTTATCCTAACCTCACCCTCCACCTGGGAATAGTCGTGGACCACGCTCACTGCTGGATTGCCCTCAAGGGGTCACTCAGAAAAGACACCAGGTGGTCTTACCCCAGGGTGAGGGGCCAAGCACGTGCTCTTTGCAGATTGATGGCGGGCAACACCAACGAGCAAAGCAGTGATCATAGGGAGGTTCTGCTGCAGGGAATAAGGATGTTCCTACTCCACATCCTGAGTCCAGTGCAAAGCCCATTCCCTCTCCAAGGACAGCATGATGGTCCCCTGTCCCTGCTGTCACAACCTGGCGGTATGCATGCGACCTACCTAAACTGCTCTCACTGCCCACTGCATGGTGAAAGAACATACAGGGATGCAGCAGGTCGGGTGATGCAGCTTGCCCGTCCACACATCCCCTTCCAGGAGATCTGCACGTTGCTTGCCCAGCAGAAGCGCTGCAGTTTGTGTCACTGGCAGTAGGCCCATGGCTCTTAGTGCCATGGGGGCCATCCCTGCTCTGAGGAACAGAGACTTCGAGATTTGCAGTGAAAATCAAGCAGTCCTCAAATTCTGAGCATCTAAATCACTTAGGCTCTTTCACTTAGGCTTTTTTGACAAATTTACTCCAGATGTACTGACAGCCACCTGGAGAGCATAAACAGCAACATGACTCTAAAATCTGAGTGATAGAAAGAAGCCTCAGATCTATGAGTACATGAAGTGCATTAGCACTTGCACCCCAGAATTATTTAGACTGTCTGCCCAGGGAGCCCTCTCCCAACATGTCTGGTGGGAAGAAACAAGGTCCTTGATTCTTTGGACACTAGGCCTTTTATATAACTTCTAAACAAACTTTAAAAGCTGCTTTTGGGCATCCATTTTGGAAAGCTTATCTTGGGGCTTTAAGAAGAACAGTTGAAATAAACCTTTTCAAGAGCTACCCGAGTCTGCCTGGCTGGGGCCGCTTCCCCTTCACAACAGCCTGTGCTCTGAATGCCTGTGTCTCTAGTTCCTAAGATTGATCAATCAGCAGTAAATTAGAGCAGAATAATACAAATTTTCAAGTGAAATTCATGCTGTGAACAGCTACCAGGCTTTTGCTGTGTGCAGGAGCACACAAATGATCCCCCCCAGGTGTGATGGATTTAGTGAGAGAAGTGTGGAGGAAGAAGGTAGTTGCATCCCATCTCCTCTCTGACGTGCAGTAGCCAAGAAGTTTATTTGCACACCAGGAACACTGTCCAGGTCAGAAGCAACATGTCTGCATCCCAAACACAGCTCCAGGGAGGCTCTGGTACTTAAACCCACTTCTGACCCTTACTAGCTCCAGAAACCACCCACCCCCCCTTTTTTTTTCTTTAACATGTACAAATAAATACATTCTTCCTCCATTCCAGCTTGGACCTAACTTCCAGTGGAGGTTAATAAGGTGACTCTGACTCCCTGTCACACACTTCTACTTGCTCTGGGCTTCAGCATCCTATGCCTAGTGGTTAGTGCACAAGGCCAGCAGCCTGAGCTCCTGCTTACTGCTGTCAGCTCTAGCCTGACAGCACCTCAGGGATAGGTCAGAGGAGATTTTCAGTGTCAGCAAGAAGATTTAGCTGGGCTTTCCACTGGCAATAACATGAACACTTTGTTTAGATCCGCAAGAATTACTTCAATTGTCACATTCAGGCATTATTCTGTTAGTCATGGGCACTGCAAGCAGGAAAGGAAGCTCAGATTAAAGTAAGTGTGGAAATGGCACTGACTGGGGCTCCTTTCTAGGGCTGAGCCTTGGGGAATCTGCTCTAAGCATGTCTTGCAGCATGGGACTCTGAACTGCCCTGTCTTTAGGCTCCATCTTGCTGCTCCTCACACTTCTGTTTCTTCCCAGGTTTAACAGGCAGTGTGTAGTAGACAAAGATAAAAGGAACCAGTGCCGATACTGCAGACTTAAGAAGTGCTTCCGAGCAGGAATTGGTCACAGCAGGGCTTCCCTGTCCTGCTTCCCTGGCAGTCATGCTGGCCGGGGTTTGCGGATGCCTGTGCAGCTGGGACCAGTCCCTGCCCTTTCGTGGAGACATTTGCTCAGCCAGCTGCGTCCCAGCTTCCCTCCACAGGGCCCTCAAGTGCAAAGATCCAGATCATCCATGGGAGGAAGTTTTAGGAAGAGGTTGGGTCGGTAGTCATGGACCCTGCATATTCCTCACCTGCCCAGCTCCTGTCCACACCAAGGTCTCACAAGCAGCCCTCACACTAATGTCTCACTAAGCCTCCAGGCAAGGTACAGGGGTCCTGTGTGTGCCCAGAGTCAGGGCTTTGCTATCCCTACAGCCAGCACGTCCCCATCAGGGCCCCTTCTCTGGGCATCCTTCAAAATGCCAGCAAAAACACAGCCATGAAAGCATCCACAGCAGCATTCCTGTGTCCCCACCTGCCCACGCTAGCACACAGAGGTCACATCTATAGCTGCGCTGCTGCTCCTTAGCTCACTTGCCCTCACACCTGTGCTCCCACGTAGCCAGGTCATCTGAGCCATTTGGAGCTATTCACAAAGTCAATGAGAAGCAGAAACTTCAGAGGTGGTCTGAATGTTTTGGAAACCCTTTGGTAGAGCTGCTGTAAGTGTGGTGCCCCGCAGTCTCTGTGAACAGTCAAACCATCATTTTGCTTCCCTTTTTTCTAACGTATATATAGGCTCTTACTGGCCTTCTGCAGCAAGCTTTGTCTTATCCAATGCACCGGCCATAGCAGAAAGGACCCAGAATGAAGTGGGGTTTTTTAAGCCCAACTGGACATATCCACCAATGTTGACACCAAGGAGGTGTTTGCTGTTGAGAAATTAAGCCCCATTCTCCCCCCTGTTAACATCCCCTTGAAGAGAAACTTAGGAGAAAAGGGATCATTCAAGACGAGAGGGATGTACCACCCCATAGCTTGGCTGCCCTAAGTGCTATACTGACCTGTGAGAACCCTTCTGGGCATTTCTCCCCTTTTGAAAGGGACGAGGTATTGCAGGAAACTTGGCTTGACTTTTCCTGAAGAACATAGGAATCCTCCTCTCCCCGCAGAGCCCGCTCATCCCCTGCGCAGCACTTTGCTGATGTCTGTTAATATTCAATAGAAGTTACATTAGGTGCATGACCAGCTAATACTGAGCAAACATTTGGAAAACATCGTGGCGTGACTGAACTCGGGTCCTGCTCCTGATAACAAGCACATAACCTTGAGAGCTATTTACAGCCGCTGACTGCAGGGCTTTTCCTCTGGCCCAGCCTCGTTATTGCTTTTTATCAGGAGGATTTATACATTGAGAACGTATCAATTCAGAGAGCCACCAGTCTACGGCAGAGACTGTTCTGTTTTCCCTGCCATCGATCAATACCTCATTTGAGCAGATGGCTTTGGGTGACTGGTTTGCCTATGGTGCATCTTGGCTAGCCCTTAGCCTCTGGGCAGATAGAGGAACCCTCCTCCTCAGCGTTCCTGCTTCTGCTTTGGCTCTTGCCATCTCTTGACCTCAAAGCCCAGTCCCTACTCAAGAATAAACCAAGCAGGGAAGCATGGTGGCTCGTACCTGTCCTGGGACTTTCTGGAAGGTAGAATCTGTTTTGCATTTCCTTCCTTATTCTAACATAAAGTCTTCAAACTGCACATTCCCTTACTGGGCATTGAGAAGCAAGAGTTTCCAAATGCAGTTCACAAGTCACATGGACAGACAAAACAGGCAAAATAGGCACCCAGACTCCCTGATTTCGCACAGCTTGGGTGGTAAGCACAGCCACAAAATCCAAGAGCCCCTTAAGAAATTGCAATCAAAAATACTAGCGCTAGATCCCTCAAAATGAAAATTTTCCCTTGAACTCTTCAGAGTTTGAGTCAAGCCTTTGAATTCTGAAGCAGCTCAAACAGAGCTCCCAGATGCAGTCAGGTCTCCGGGACATCACACCACAAACCAGGCACAGCTGCATCTCTGCCTTGCCAGGCAGGGGAGCTGTCAAACTGCAGCTCAGTGATCCAAGGCTCCGTGGAAGGGAATGCCAATAGAGTGTGAGAGGTTTTGGTGAGTATTTCCACAAATGAGCTGCTCCTGAGCCAAAATATTCTCTTGCAGCTGTACAGAATGAACGGGACCGAATCAGCACCCGAAGATCAAGTTATGAAGATAGCAGCTTGCCTTCCATAAACGTATTGTTGCAGGCAGAAGTCCTGGCCCAACAGGTAGCTCTTCTTTCCTCTTTGGTGAATACAAAAACATCAGGCGTTATGTGGCTAGTAGGTCCAGGTGAGCATTTAATAGATCAGTCTTCAAATTACCACTTCTTTTCTAAATAACTTGTCTGCCAACTCAGCATTGTTTTTTCAAAGGCATTTGTTACCTGAAACCATTCCTTTAATGCTCTTTGGTCTGGATCTGAGTTGTAAGCAGTGTGCTCAGATGCTTTGATGGGACGCAGGAAAGCTGGAGTGCCTGCTGGTATAAAATAGGGTAGAATCACTGAAATCCAAGGAGCTGTGTCTGTTTATGCCAGCCAAGGGACTGGCCTAGCACAAGCAGTCTCCCTTCCTACTGGCTGCTAGTAACTTGGATTCTGGCTTCCTGCACAATTTCCTGAGGAATTGGTTTCATGCTTGCATTATGCAAATGTTCATTCTTGTATTTGCTCAAAATTCGCCATTTCCACAGACACAGGACCAGGAAACTAATTTCCTAGAATGTTCACTTGAAAAAAAAGGACTCCGGTTTACGAATCTGAATACTGCAAACAGTCTGTATTAAAAGGACGTCACGTGGGGAGAACGGAGATGGCAGACTCCAAGAAGGGAGAACCCTGAGATTTTTCTCTTGGTCTGTTCAGAGCTCACATGGTTCCCTGTCTTGCCAAACAGCTTAAATCCAAAACATGGCCAATATCGCACTATGCAGAAATGTGGGCTGACTTCAGGTCGTTGTTAGTGTTGTGCAAGGAAGGTCATCATTCATAGCTAAAATACCTGCCTCATTTTGGAGTACCAAGATAGAACGAGTGGATTGATTTCTGAGAGGGCACAAACTTGTTAAAAAGACATGGAGAAGTTCTCCAAGCATCTGCGTTAGGCAGGTGCCAGAGGCAGCGCAGCAGGGAGCCTGTGTCAGCACTGACACCTCTGCTCAGAAGGCACCACCAGCCACTGCTACCCACCTCTGCCTGAGCAGGGTCAATGGGGCCTTCAAACTCCCACTCAGGCAGGAGCAATTTAAGGCAGCCCAGGGAGATTAGCGCCGCCAAGACAGTTGGCAGAAAGGCGCTAGAAATGCCCCAGGAAGAGCATGGACTGAGCAGGGTTTGTGCTAAGCCTCCAAAGTCAGAGTGTGCAAGCGGTGTGAGCAACAGGACGTGGAGGGATTCCTCGAGGATGAAGTGTGGACCCCGGGCAGGCCAGGAGAGCACGTGTCACTGGTGGGTTTCTCTGGAAGAACATTGATGAGGCAGGAACTGCCGTACGTCATGCGAGCCAGGGAGAGCACTGTTGGTTCTAAAGAAGGCGGATTCAAGTTGGCCGTTCGCACTCTTCCTCCCTTCCAGAGTCATGTTTCCCTGAGCTGCTCCAAGACAGGACGCGCTGGTGTTCCGGGCTCCATGCGAGGGCCCAGGGTCAAGCAGCAAGGTTGACTTCCTTGAACAGGGGACGTGCCAGGCCCTAGGGTGCCAAGACAAAGGACCGAGCCTTGGTGCTGGCAGCGTATCCTGCCTCATCCCATGCCTCACCTTGTCCTGCATGGAGCTTCATGTATTTATATGCTTGCTAAAAATAGTAACAGTGCTGTTCCTGGTGAGGTAATGGCACCTCAAGTCAACAGATCTACAAGGGAAGGACATTTCCGGGACTCTGAGTCCTGCAGAGACCTCGTATGTAAGTCCTGAGGAGGGTCTGCTGATAAAAACCACAGGCACCAACAAATCCAGGGAAGTGCCTGCTCTCCCACAGAGAACAGACTCATTAGACAAGAGAGGCTCCAGCACACTAATTGGTTACTTTTATGCGCCTAACTAATTAGAACAAGATACTGCTGAGGAGTTGCTTTCTCTGAGATCTCAGGTCACTCACTCAGAGGTCCTTATTTATTTGCTAAGCCTTCCGGGCTCTCTGATTAGGGTAATACATGGTGAGATTTTTACAATCTTATTTATTCAATAATAGCTCCAGGGCTGGAAAACTTCCAAATAATGCAACCTGGAAAAAAACGCAGGTGGCGTTTGAACTCCATTTCCTGTAGGAGGCTGGCAGGGTCCGAGTGAAGTGCTGGCAGGAGCAGAGCAGGAAGAGCTGATGTTGTTCACAAGCAGCAAGGGCAGGCGGAGGGCAGCGACGGGGTTGAGTTAACTGATCACAGAAGCATGAGGATAAAGCAGTGACTAAGGGCAAACGTTTAGATGAGCTGGGTGAACAGCTGTGCATGAGAACTGGGGGTGAGGTTGGGTGCCTGGTTTTGGGGGATGTTTCTGCCAGCTCCTGTAACCAGCAGCCTGCCAAGTTGTCAGACTTAACCCTTGCAGATGAAATGGCCCCATTTGCCTCTTCCATCATAAATATTCTCCATGCCCAAGTGAGCTGTGTTGCTGTCAGTATGTTTGCACTTATGCAGTTTTGCAAAAAGGGCCAAAATACAGGGAGGGTGGGGTGGAGAGTGTTTTCTTTAAAGTATTTTTTTTTTTTGGTGTATGTCAAATATTGATGATCTGGTACCAATCTCACAGACACCAACCTCAGACCATGCTCCTGCTCCTATAATATATAAACTATGTAAACAATTACAACTGTTAACAGCAAAACAAGGTGGTTCTGGCTGCACACCAGCTTTGGAAAGAGGAGTAGGTCTCTGCCTTGTCAAGTAACCAGGTGGACTCAACATGTCCTTGCTACTGGGGACAGTGGGACAGCAAGAGGGAAAGTCTGACTGCCTTTCCTTGTTGCTATCTGAGCCCCTTTAGATCTCCGTTAGATTCCTGTTAGATCTGGAATGTGCACATTCTTTTAGTGGAAATTCATCATTTTCAGAAATTTTTCTCCTGTGGTTTCAGACTAGTCAGGGCACTATGTCTTACCTAGGCAATCCACAGCCTCAGCTCTGAGGTATTCCATATTTATGGATACGGAGCTGATCTCAGATTGAAATGAGCTGTGCTGGGCCACATGTTTGGAGGGGCTGGACATGTAACAGTAAAAAGTCATTGTCTCAGTGCTAGTTTGTGCATCACCACCCATCTCAGGAGCCCTCAGCCTGCGGATTTTCCTGCTCATGTTCCCTCTGTGGCTCCAAAACCTGAAGGGTCTCTTCCCTCCCTGCAGATATCATCCCCTGTTCCTGTGATGAGTGGAGACATCCGAGGGAAGAAGATTGCCAACATCGCAGACGTGTGCGAGTCCATGAAGCAGCAGCTGCTGGTGCTGGTGGAGTGGGCCAAGTACATCCCTGCCTTCTGCGAGCTGCCCCTGGACGACCAGGCGAGTCCTCCCGCTCTGCCCTCCTCCCTCATCCCCGGCAAAGGCAGCGGGGAGCCAAACGGGAGCGAAACAGCCGAGAGCTTCAAAGAAAATGGGCATTGTTTGCTCCGCTCTCGTGGCTGATTGGGGAGTAACGTGCGCACAATGACCACACGGGCCACCAGCTGGCCAGGCAATCAGCCCATGAGCAGGGTCATGATAACAATGAGCTCCAATTAGATACATATTCAGGTGTGCGTTTTGCATGGATGCATTGTCAAGTATTTGTTGACGTACTGCAGCTCGTGTAGCACTTTGAAACCCAAGGCCCTATAAAAATGCCTGGATTTATTAGGAAAAATCACTTAGCATAAGGTCCATTTAAGACAAAAAAAAATCTACCTGTCCATTTTTTTTCTGGTTCATGCCTGGGAATATGTTTGTATCCATTCTCCTGGTGTAGAATTATTGAAGGGAAACACTATTTTACTGACATGTATAGTTCAAGTTCCTAAGGCAGTAAAAAAATCTCTCTGCAGAGTTAAAAAAATAGAAACATCTGCATTTATAAAAAATCACTGAAATGACATTTGCTCATTCCTCTGCCGAGATCAGCAGTGTGGGATGGAATTCTCCTGCAAGGTGGTACTGTGGGATCTCGGGAAGCCTCAAAACAATACACGGAGTTGTGCCCTGTTGAAGTCTAAGTCACAGGTCTGCAGCAGACTTTGCAGGACATCATGTGTGCACGGGCACACGTGGTGGGATGGCTCCCCGGGCCAGGGCTGCTGCCGCTGCCAACAGGGATCTGCACAGAACCTGCCACGGGCAGGAGGGGTTTCTGGTCTAGCTGCTGCTCAGGCACAAAATCAGATCCCCTCCAGCTAGCATCAGTCTGCAGCTCTGTTGACCTAAAGTTAATTTTTGCATCATGAAGAAGAATTTTATGTAGAGGTGAGAGTATCCAGCTGATCAACTCCCCCCTGCCACCTAAATGCTAGCACTGAGACCTTGAGGAAGCAGCCTGCAGCACAGGGCCCTGGGGAATTCAGCGCTTTCGAGCAGCCCCAAGGAGCACTTGTTGCCCTTTTCTAATGCGTGAAAGTGTTAAATTTCTTTATGACTGTACGCAGTTTGCTAAACTCCTAAGGCAAATATGACTAAAAAAGTATGGAAACCAAAATGGAGTCCGATGGCAAATTATATTTACCCAGCAAACAGGCTGCAGCGCAAAGAAGGCTTGGGGCAGCTCTGTGTATTGCATTGGGTCTCCACTTGCTCCACAGGCTCTTCTCATCTGAAATAGGACTTCTGCTCGGAGAAATCATTCCCCACCACGAGCAGTTCCCAAGTGGTCCCGAAGGGTTTGGGAGGAAAGGGCTGCATTAGAGCAGTGTGATTAATGACATCTGCATTTTCGAGGAGAGCGGGTGGGAACAGGGACAGCAGAGACTCAGGGGAGAGCAGGACAGAGAAGTGCCAGGGATGAACAGAAACACTCACAAGCCGGTTGCCCAAGGAGCATGAACATTTAATGTTGGGAAATACTCTTACATTGCCATTATAATGTTGCTTGGGAATGAATCATCTCTGCCATTGTTTTTATAGGAAAGGACATATTCGACAGCTTGTTTTTCCTATGCACCTAAATGTCAAAGTACTTCCTTTGGTGGGGCAAAGCCATTTCATTTCCAGGTTAAAGTTCTACTTTGTTCAGTTACAACTTTTATATTTATTCTACTTCAGAATAGAATGATGCATCTGTGGTTAATCACTGAAAGAACAAATACCAAATGAATGGTTTTACTCTGTTAAAATACTATGTTTTAACCCCACTCAAACAGGTGAATTGTACGGAAACAAAAATGATGGATCCAAACTGAGCTTTTCCTGAATTTGCATTAAGTGGGAAGTCTCTGCATGAGAGATTTGCTTTCCCTTGAGAGCTCCACTTTTGTTTGCAACCTTCCCAAACCCTCAGCAGATGGGAACCCTCAGCACAGTGCAGCTTTGGTAATCAGGAGCAGCTTCAGTTAGCACATCCGCCCATGTCTGGATAGTGACAGAGAGGCTTGATTTTGGCATACAGAAAAAGGTTCCCCAGCATCATGTATACATAATCTTTTTGCAAGGACCTCCACTCTGTTTATTTTGCATAACTCTTTTATACCATCTGAAAACGATCCCTCCTAGCTATCAGCATCTTTTCCAATCAGCTCTGTTCCACAGATGATGCATTCTCCTGACGTTTCTGGCAGGGTGGGACTTTTCTTGGCTTTGTCTGATGCTGAGAGATAATGTACTGGGAAATGGACCATTCCCATCAGGACATGCTCTTCAGGATCTTTCCATTAATGTTTAATAATTGTTTTCTTCAGCAGAGGTTCCTGGCTGGACATTAAGAAGCTTCCATGTCAGGCTGTCCAATCGTTAACTTCTATTTCTGCCTAAATCTTTGAAATTTTTAACCAAAGGAGGGCAAAAGATTCAGAACATTCTCAGGAACCGCTGAGGGGTGTAAAATGAAACACTTCAATCATTAACGTCAGCAGAAAAACGTCCCTCTGGCTTTCCTGGCCTGAATGCCCATTGCCAGCAAGGGAATAACTGACCAGGTGACCCCACCTGCCAGTGGGACATGAGTCTCCATAAGACTCGTGTCAGTGGGACATGGGCAGGGCCACCATCCTCTTTGCTCCTGTGGCATGAAGTGAAAGGTGCAGCATCCCTTCACACAGATGTTTCTTGTTCCTTGGCCTCCAATCCTGGGCCACTTAATACAGCCCAGGAGAGGGTGGCAGAGTCTCGGTGGCTCTTGGAGAGGGGCAAGATGCATGCAGGCTGGGTTAGAGTCCCGAGGGTCTGATATCTACTGGTTCTGCTGAGCCCAGAGTTGTTTATGCACATTCTTGGCTTCTTCCTCTGACTTCAGACATGTAACTGGAGAGGGGATCTCTCCCCACAACCCTGAGTGCTGTATAGGAGTGCTGGGATTTCCCTCCTGTTTACACTCAATTGCAGCCTTTTCCGTCTCTCTGCTGACATCACATAAATAACTTGTCCCTGCCCCTGCAGGTGGCATTGCTGCGAGCACACGCAGGTGAACATCTGTTACTAGGAGCTGCCAAGAGGTCCATGGTGTTCAAGGATGTCTTGCTGCTAGGTAAAGAGTGCATTTCTGCTCTCCACCAGTCTGCTTCCACTAAGCATCCCTCCCAGGGGCTGGCCCAGAGGGTGGGCATCCTTTCTGAAGGACAAGTGGCTTCAGCTTCTGTGGTTTAGAGAGCCCAGTGCTGCTGCGGCTAGGCTTGGCTTACTTCATGCCAAGGTCATGGCATGCTGCCCTGGCAAAGGAGGGGACTATAAACCTTCCTGCTGCTGTGCCCGGTGTGCGTAAGCAGGCCGGGCTGTAACTGAGAAAGAGGCTCTCGCTCTTAGGCAGCTCTGCGTCACTTGACTGACTCCTGTCAGCCCTGTGACTGAATAAGGAGAGGCTGTTCTGGCAACACAGATCAGCAGTTCTGGTGGGCAGTGCTGGAGAACAGGCAGAAGGGGACCAAGCTAGTATCCCCACTCCAAAATCATGTCAGCATTGTTTTTCTGGGTTTAGAAAGTGTTGAAGCCCTTGCTCCCCTTGGTAAGGTTGGGGCGATGACAGGGTGACGGTCTCTATACTGCTCGTCTAAAGGAAATGACCACATCATCCCACGGAACTGCCCCGAGCTGGTGGAGGTGAGCCGCGTGGCCATGCGCATTCTGGACGAGCTGGTCCTGCCCTTCCAGGAACTGCAGATCGATGATAACGAGTATGCCTGCTTGAAAGCCATCATCTTCTTCGACCCAGGTATGCTCCAGATTGCAGTAGATAATGGTCATCATCAAGGGGGACTGGTCTGGGTTACACTGACCCGTGCTGAGTCAGCAAATGCTAACCTGATCTCCTCTCTGAGCAAAACCACTCTTAAAGGGGAGAAGTCAGACTAAGAAGAGGAAAAATATTTGTAACAACATACAGAGAATCAGAGATAGCACAACTCAGCCTGAGCCTAGAGCTCATGCATTACTAAGGCGCAGTTCCTAGGGAAGCAGCCTGGATAGTTTGCTCTGTGGATCGTTTCAGATGCCAAAGGACTCAGCGACCCCGTGAAGATCAAGCGGATGCGGTACCAGGTGCAGGTCAGCCTGGAGGACTATATCAACGACCGGCAGTACGACTCACGGGGCCGCTTTGGGGAGCTGCTGCTGCTGCTGCCTGTTCTGCAGAGCATTACCTGGCAGATGATAGAGCAGATCCAGTTTGTTAAGCTCTTCGGGATGGCCAAGATAGACAACCTGCTGCAGGAGATGCTGCTGGGAGGTGAGTAAGTGATGGTCCTTCAAGAGGCCCCTCAGTGCTCCCCAGTCACCATCCACTTAGGACCCTCCATTGCTGCTCCTACGCAGCAGCATGAGGCAGAGTTTCAGACCGTGCAAGTCAGCCCTTGACTCACATGAAATCATCTCCCTGCCATTTGTACAGTGATAACTAAGGGTGCTCCACCTCTATCCATCTAACCAGCTGTGCATCTGTTTGTGGAGAGGCATCCCCAGCGCTCAGCACGTAGATGAGTTCCCAGACGCGTAGCAGCCAACCATTTCACGAGCTCCCCTTTGTGTCAGGAGGGAACTAGCAGAATAAAAAGGCCAGGAAGGTTTCACAGAATCACAGAAGTGTTACTCATGGAAGGAACCTCTAGATGTTATCTAGTCCTTTGGTTGAAAGAATGCCCCAATTTTCTACTGGGGGCATCCAGTGACCCAAAACAACGTGAGAAGTTGCATTGTGCTAGTCTTCATGTGATTTGACTCGGGAGGAGAGGAACTTAACTCTCTGTAAGAGGAAATACAGGCAGCAGGCAGGAGAACTGAGCCCAAAATGTCCATAGAAGATGGGAAGGGTATGCTCCAGCCACAAACACACAAGCAGTTCCTGCACAGTTACTGGAGAGGCTTTGACATTTTGGTGAAGTGGGTCTATGCCTCCTGGAACTGTCTCCCTCTGCCATAATGACAATATTATACGCACGGTTTCAGGGTCATCAAGTGAAACGCCACATGCTCACCACCCTCTCCACCCTCACCTGATCCAGGAGAACCTTGGAACAAATGTCATTGTGGCCAACACAATGCCGCCGCAGATGCACAACGGGCAGATGTGTGAGTATCGCCAGAGTGACTGATCGTTCTAGGGAAATCTGTGAGCCTGCCAGTGTTCCTGTGGAGGTAGTTCTAGGAAATACCCATGCAAGACAGTCTCTGATAACGAGTGAGATATTCCCATGCAGAAAGGAGGAAAGACAAATAAAGAAGTGGATCAGATCAGATTAGGCCAGATTCACTGATGCAACAAGATCTTCCCTGTCAGACTCTAACTTTTAATTCCCCTACATTTAGGAACTAATGCTCTCAGATGGTATCTACTGGAATCAGCGGAAAGTTTTCTTTTTCCATGAACAGTTCAAACACATTTCATTTTTCCCTCTGCAATGCAGGGCCATCACACAGGAAATTAGGGATGAGATAACCCCACATATGACCAAACAAGTGGCCAGAGCAGGTCATTTGGGACTCTTTTAGGGCACCTTACATCCCTATAAGGACCTGTATGGGCTCATGTGCCTTGCAGCAAATATACCAGCCACTACAAACCAGGGGTTTGCTACAGAGCCTTTGTCTTGCTTACACCTGAACCTCACTTGAATGAGTAGATCCCAGGTCTTTTGTCTGTGCTGCCCTTCTAATTTTGTTTCTCTGTCTGTAGCTACTCCAGAGACTCCACAGCCATCTCCACCTGCGGGCTCTGGGCCAGAGCAATACAAGCTGCTGCCTGGAGCCACTGCAACTGTGGCAAAACAGCCCAGCTCCATCCCACAACCCACCATCACCAAACAGGAGGTCATCTAGCAATCTGCAGAGCAACTGGCCTCTTCAGAAGACTGTGTGGGAGAAAAGCCAGAACTGTCTCTACCACTGTGAAAAGAGAGCCATAAAGAGGTCCTGGTGCACAGACACACAGACTTGCTCATTGGAATAGAGCACCACCGCCGGAAGCTGTCTTCCTGCAGCAATGGACAGCGCGTGCCATGGGCAGCCCCCAGTCACAGAACTAGGGTTGAAGCCTTACGGAAATCCTCATTCCTTAAAAGAAGGCCAGATTTCTGCTTCCCTCAGCAGGCAGTTGCACTGGCCGATGGGACAGCACAGCTGGTTGTCTCTCCGTTGCCACCGCTCGTGTTGGTTCAGCACGCGCAGCCCCTGCGAACAAGCGATTCCCCAAACAAGGAGGCTGCGCTGCGCAGCAGCAGGGTTCCCTTCCACAGCCAAGCCAGCTTCCCAGAGTCTTCAGTCCAGCCAAATTTCACAGAGCTGGCAGCTCCCTGGAAGGCATCCTTGCAGGTGAAGCTCGCTGAGGTTTGCTCAGGTAGCACTGACAGTTTCACTCTGTCCCAAATCTTTGCATGGTGTCACCCCCCAGCAGTGTAACCCCCAGCCAGGTCTAACATCTTTTAGCTGATATGACAACACAGTCTGGCCTGCCAGGATCCTTCATTATTTAGATCCTTCTGCCTTTTGAGGGGTTTTGTTATTCCTGTACATAACTGCCTTCCCACCACATTGCTCAGAGGAAGCAACCACTGCCCGATCCTTCCCTGATACTGCCACTGCCTACAGGAAGCCTGGACTGGAAAGCTGAGGGGACTGAGATGCATGAGCTAAAGGGAGGGGGTCACCCCCACTCTGCTGGCTGCAGGCAGCTCTGCCCAAATAGCGCTGGCCCCTCTATTGCTTCTGCAATTCACCATCAAAGGAAGATCTTTTGATGCCTGTTGGGAATGGAGTACGGGGAAAGGGTATATGAAGGGGAGAGGTCTGTGAGGGTAAGGAGAGTCCAAGCCTCACAGGCTGCACTAAGATCTCAGGCTGCCCAATGCTGGGAGTGCTGTGAGTGTGGATCTCGGATCGGACCCAGCTTTCATGCTAATACGTGCCATATAACCGAGCCAGCCCAGGCCAGTGCCACTCCCTCTACTTAGAGTGGCTAATACAGATTTATAGGACTTTATAGTTTGATAAGAATGCATTATGAGTCCTTCAGAGCTCCGAGGGTTTGAAGGCAATAACCTCAAACCATAAAGCTTTGAATCGTACTGTGAAGAGCCAGTGAGGCACCATGCCTTGGGTCTGTACCTGCCGTGGTCCTCTGCCATCCTTGGGTCTGCACCCCCTGCCACTGTCCCCATTTCTCTTTGCCTACATGTTTTCTTTGCCCACTGAAGCCTGCCCATGCCAAAATCCTGCAGACTTCATGTCTGCTTTATGCTGAAGTGAGCAAAGCAGCCCACGCCACGCGCAGCGTTTGCGTCTCCAGGGCACAGCCGCGCCGGAGCTGACAGAGCCCTGCCCAGCTCCAGGCCTCGGGGAGGTCCCTCTATCCCCATGTGCTGCCAGATTCATTTTTTGGCAGCACTTTAGCAGAGGTGCCAAGAAAACTTGGAACAAGCTTTTATGAGGGAAGACAGACAGCAGATGTATGGTATCTGTGCCCAGGAAAACTCAGCAAGAAGCGATTTCTCTCTCCACCAAAACTCAAAGCATTTTATTCTGGGGCAACAGCAGCTCTAACTACCCTAGATAACATTTCTGTGGGGTCCTGGCCTTGTGGGAAGATGAAGTTGATGGAATCTCAACTGCCAAAAAGGTCTGGGAGAAGTCCCTGGCAGGGATAAATCTGAGCCAGTCTAACCCGAATTGCTACAGATCTGTCCCTTGTTTCCCAATGCAAAAATGCAACACCTAGCCCTGTGCTGATGGTGTCGAAAGTATTGTATTTTTTTCCCTCAGAGCTCATGGCATTAGACTGAGTAATTTATTGCAATGATGTATCCAATGATTTTCTGTAAATTATTTTGTAAATCACATTGATTATTTAAAATCAGGAAATTAAATGAAAAAAAAAAAAAACACATAATACCAGGCTGTCTTTTCCAACTGCAGCAACCTTTTATTTCCTGTATGTAGGGATACTTTGTGAGGAATTATTTTTGGTCCATTTGCACCAAGCATTCCCCCATGCTGTACATTAATTGTTGCTGGTTACTCCCTTCTGATGGAAACAGAGGAATATTTCTTCACTAGAGTTTGTATTCATTAAAAAAAAAAAAGGAAGAAAGAAGAAATAAATGAAAAAAAAATATTTTCTAACCTTTCTGAGGAAGATGGATTTCTTTCTTCTGGAAGGATTTATTTTGAATCAAGGGGCTCATCTCCCTGTTGGTCTGAGCACAAACATATGCGTTTTTAGGAGAAAGCCCAAACAAGTGTCTGATGCTGCTGCCAGCTGTCACTATTTCATGGCAAGCTTAATGGTAGCTGGTGTCTGTCCTGAAGCCATATGTGCTAGAATCGTAAGACTAATGACAACCCCAATTTTCATTTCAGAAAAACAAGCAACACGAATAAATGTTTACTTCCATGATGCCAGACAGCTTAAAGATTTAAAGTACTCACACTGAAAACCAAGCAAAGGAAGCCAAAAACATATTATCATTTTAACCTGCTCTTTTTTAAGTCCCTCTTGCATTTTAAAGGTCATTTCTGAGCATTTTGGACTGATGACTCTCCTTTGGTTCACACCCAGCTTACCCACACTGACAGCAGGTGCAGCCAATGGGGCACAGTAGGATGATAAAGGTGAAAGTCAATTTGTCACCAGCTGTAAAGGTGAAGAAATAGATTGGCAATTAGAAGAGGCTCTTAATGACCTGCTCTGCTGATCACAGGAGCCTGCTCTGGGCTGCAGCATGCCCAGGAAGATAACAGGATGAGAGGAGAGATTGCTGTAAAGATCAATATCCAGTGTTTTCAGTTCTGGAGATTCCTCCAGAGTTCCCCCACTCCTCACCCTGATGTGCAATGAGTTGGACAGTCTCATCCCCATTACAAGGGTTTGAGAAACAGCTCAGTTTTCTAGCCTGCTACTTGCAACACGAGCCTCCTTGCACGCCCAGTGACAGTCATGTTGGTGAAACCTAGCAGCAGATATGAGATGTAGGTATGAGATTTAGGGCTGTGTTTGAGGAGCGTGAGCACGTAAGAGTTTGTCTCCACCCCAGGGTCAGGACCCAGAAGAACAGTATAGATTCATTAAATGAAGATTCTTAACTTGTCTTCACTACAGGGGACCTTCTGTAGCTGAACATCTAGAACCCCAACACTACTGTTGAATTCCAGACCAATGTCAGCAAAGGCAGTTGTGTTCTCTCATGTGTTCTCTCAGTACAAATAGAGACTGAGTGGTTAGTCCAGTCAAGAGAAGGAAAAGGAATTAGTTCCTTTCCTCTGATAATGTGAAACAGACCCCAGGACTCCCAGAGCCTGCCCCAAGAACCCTGTAACCCGTGCATGATTTTACCTAGGTGTATGCCCTAATAACTCCACGTATGCAATATCAAATCTTCAAAGCAATAAATTCTCCTGGATTCCTTCCCGTGAATTGCTATATCAAGGTTGCCCTTTACCTGGTTAATCTTAAATCAGCGCAGTCCCTACAGAAGGTTTCTCATTGCTGTGTTCAGCTCATTTGAGGAAAAAAAAATAAAACACACAAATCTCTCTGGAGACAACCTTGTCCCTAAGTGGCATTCTCAGTCACAACGCTCCCCACTTCTGTCATCCCCTGGGATCACCCTGAGATGCTGGTCTTGCCACACATGGCTCTGTTGTACCCCACGGGGCTCCCTGGAGCCCAAGGTGATGTCTTCATAGGAGGTGGCTGCTGCCAGGAGAGCCGGTATTGCCCTTTGCGACACAAGCTGCCTGCACTATTTTTGGGTTAAGAGATTATTTTACTGCTGTCTTCTGTGCTTGCTATCTAGATTAAGGATATTTTCTTGGAGAGCACTATACTTAGCTGCAAGATCTTTTCATGAGTTCCAAGCAAAGATCTGCAGAAGTGGCATTTTTAGGTACTCTGGCTACTCTGAAATGCATTTTTTTTGTATTCTTTATATAACCCTGATCTGAAATAGCCAAGAGGCTTTGGAACCTCTTCCAGAGCTTTCATATCTCAGTGGAAAAAAAAAAAAAAAAAAAAAGGCAAATGGGTTTTATGGCCTGAATATCATCCATGAGAAAAGCAACTATTGCTGCTATTAAACTTGCAAGAACACACACAGGCACAGATAGTTGTGAAAAAAAAGAGGCAGCAGGGAATGCTCAGCAACGTGGCACTGCTGAGCCAGGCAGTTCTCGGTGCCAGGCTGTCCCCTTTCTTCAAGGCTGAGTGCAGATATCACCAAGCAGTTTGGGAATCCCGGCCACGCTCTGCACCGACCCTCTCTGTGCAGGATGGCTGGAGGAGGAAGGGAAAGGTGTGGACGTGTTTACCAGCCCTCTCCCCATTCCTAATTAAGGCGTGACACTGACAGTCATAAACACACCTAGCACCTGAAGACTGTCAGGCAAGCCAATAAAATTGGCAACGCGCCGCCAGCTTTGGTGCGTGTGCAGGAGAGCTCAGCACCAGCATGTCTGGCAGTGAATTCCTTTGACTCGGTGTCCCATGTGAAACACGGGGCTGCTGTGTCAAGGAGAGCTTGCAGTGGAGAAGAGCTCTGGGCCAGATCTGCATCTCGGGAAGGAGGATCTTTTGGAACTGTCTTTCCAGGGCTTGCTCTGGTTCTGGTCCTAGGGTGATGCCTGATTTGGCTGTTTCATCAGCTTGCAAAGGGCCGAGAGCCACCAACACCTTGGAGAAGAACGTAGGGGCTACACCAGGATCCCCAGGGCAGGATCCGCTGTGGTTCCTGGCATCCCACAGTGCTGTCTTGCTGAGATGTGTATCGCAGTTGGGCACATGAAGACAAGGGAGCCTTTCTGAACCCTGCGCACCCAAACCCAGACACCTCCGGTCTGAGGGAGCTGTTGTGATTCCCTGTCTTCACTCCTAGAAACTGCCACGGGTGCAATAAGCAGTGCGGGACATGGCTA